ATAGGTAACCTTTTGAAACTTGCTACTTGTGGATGCTATCTGTCCAGTACATTATTTGCAGTATGATTAAAATCACTAGAATTACTATTTGTGTATGTTTTTTCCTTTTTGTGACTATTTTTACTATTTTCTGTTGAACCTTTTTTCCTATTGTCTTGTCATTTGGTGGTATGTAAACTCCTAATACTAATAATTCCAATTGCTTGAAATATAGTATAAGTTCTATCAAATATTCATTTATCTTTTTAACTGCACCCACATGCTTTTCCTATTGTTCATTAACTAAGATACCTATACCAGATCATTTTTTCTTGTCTTTTGCTGCACTTGACCAAAATCCAACATAACTCTTATTTGCTGTGTATGTTAAAAATCTTCCTTCTCTTTCTGTAAGATTTATTTCTGTGATTCCAAGTATTGTAATTTCTTCTTCTTCTGCCCATTCCATTAGATTCTCTAGTTTCTATCCTTTGATTTTAAGTCCATTAATATTGTGACATGCTATTTTTATTTTTTTTCTTCCTTGTTTCCATTTTTCTTCTAGTTATTCTTTTCTTGTTTCTGTGACTTCTACTTGTTCTTTCCTTTTTGTCTTTATGTTTTCCCTATAGCCAGAAGATACTTCTACATTGTCTTCTTCGAATATTCTTCTTTCTCTATGTAAAAACTCTCTAATCTCCTAGTTTATGCTCCTATATTCAACTGGGGTGTCCTTAGAAGCAGTAAGCTAGGCTATTCTATGTTGTATTTCTTGTCTCTTCTAGTCTTTCAAGTCTTTCTAAAATTCGATTTAAGATATTATTTGTATATATAACTTCTTCTTGTGTCTGGGTTTTGAGTTCTGCTGTTTCTCTTCTGTGTGGATTTCTTCTTCTTCAAGTAGATTTGTATATTTTGTTTTATTTTTTGTATTTCGATCTTGTATACTACTTCTGCTTGCTACTGCTTGATTCTCTGCACTTCTATTCCATTCTCTTCTTCTTTTGTTTGTATTTAGCTTGAATTCTTGTTTTTCCTTTTGGCTGTTACTCTCTTCTGTATCAGAGGTTTGACTAAACCTTTCCCAGCTTCTATCTCTTTCTCCTTTAAGGTCTTTTGTTCATTCTATTTCTCTTCTTTTTTCTTTTATCCAATACAGTCGAAAATTATTATATATAAATAGTTTCGATTAGACTGTTTTCATATTCTCTTCTGTTGCAAACATAACTGTTACTATTTTTCTTTGGTTTCTGTTTCTATTTGGAGGTATATGAACTAACTTTACTTCCTTGTTCTTTAAACTTCATAGTAATAGAACTTCTGAGGCACTTTTAGGTAATTCTATTAATTTTGCTATATAATTTCTTTGTTTTTCTCTAGCTTCGTAGTCTTCAATTCCTTTAGTCACTTGTACCAGTTTGTTACTATTCACTGGTATAATCCAAGAAGTGTCTTTGTATGTTTCTTCTGTCTTAACTACTGCTAAGGCCTTATATTTTGATCTTTTAATTCTTACTATATGGGCTTTTTTGAATCTTCTACAGATGTATTTTACCTCTTTTTTGTTTATATTTGTTGGTAAGTCCCAAATCATCAGATAATTTTTGTCTTCAGATTCTTCATTTATTTTATATTAGTTTTCATTTATTTTGGTTTCGTTCTTCTTCTATTTTTGTTTTTCTTCTTTAGTTCTCATTTTGCTATTACTTCTCTTTTGATATTTCTCACTGTGTTGTGTCTGCTTCTTCATGCTACCTTCTTTTTCTTTAGATATCATTCTGTACCAGTCACTCTCCTTTTTGCTGATTCTTTATATTGCTGTATTTCTGCCATATTCGCAGTCAAAATCTACTTCTATCCATAAGTTTCCTCTTTTGAAAACTTCTCTAATATCTTTAACATGTGTATTGTTTCTTAATGACCATCTAATAAATTTCATATGCTCTTCTTTTGTTTTTTCTTGTACATTGTGTGCTGGTATATTTGCAAGCAAACTGTTGTTTTGGTTACAGTTCCTTTTGTTTGGAGCCCATATACTTTCTTCTAAAGGTTCTCTGACTATATCAATTTCTTTTTTAACTTCTATTTCAATGGCTTCTTGTTCTTGCTCTTCCTTTTGTACTTCTGTGTCTCTTTCTTATATAAACAAAAATTTTTTTTCTTGATTATTGTTTGTCAGACTTACTTTTTCTTCTTGGTTTCTGTTTGCTACTATTGACTGTTGATGTACCTCTTTCTGTTTGTCTTGTGTTTGTTTTATTATAGGTTCTTCTATTATAATAACATTCTTGTTCTGTTTCATAATATTGATTTTCTTATCTGGCTGTTCTTCTTCTGCTTTCTTGATTTTTTCTCTTGTTATATGCAGCAAAACAACCTCTAATGCATCTTGTTCTGTTAGCATAGCCACAATCTCATCTTCTCAGTTTAGTGTTGAAATAATTTTATTAGTGTGATTAAAAAACACCTTGTTGTGTATATCATTTGCTGCCCAATATGCTCTTTTGATATAAGTTGTCATTAGGCTTTCTTTCTGATTTTGTGTGCTATTTATATTTTGCTTAGTTATTAGTGGCTCCTATTTACTATTTGTTCTAACACTTTCTATATCTTATTCCTATTATTATCCAAATTGGATTTGTTTGTATGTCTGTTAATATACATGTTTGTTTGTTTATCTATTCATGTATTGCTATGATATACAGATCGACATTTCCAAGTTACAGAGAATTTCCCAAATTTCACTTTTCCAAATGTCGACCAAGATATTTTCTTCTCTATCTTTCCTACAAGCTTTCTAATTTTCTACTTTTATCTCTTATTATATATTTTTTCACAAGCTCTATCTTTTTCTTTAAGCCTGTAAGGTTGGTTTTGACAGCTGTTTTTTAGTAAACTTCTAAAATATTTTTCTACAGTTTTGTGTACATTAATAATAACTTATATCTATTACTGTATTATAAAAAATAATAATAATAATAATAGTAATTTAATAATAGTAATAATTTTTTGTTATATATACATTAAATAAGATCATAGTATTATAATCAAAAATAGGATCATCGATATCTCATTTAAGTTACATCGCATAATGAAATAATAGTATATAGTATTGTAATGATACAAGACGGAACTACCTTAGAATTCTCTATTTATAGGATAGCCAATGGATAGTTCGTTCGTATAATATAAGACACTACTATACTCAAAAGAGGTGTTGGATTTGGTGAGTGTAAGGTGGGTATTCTTTTATTATGTCCTATTCTGTTCTATGTATTCTTACATTTAAAGCGCATTACTTATATACTCTTTCTAATATACTATATACACTAACTACACTATTTATGCTTATGCACTATCTATGCTATATACACTAATTATGCTACATATGTTATATTTACTAATTACACTAAATATCTTATATCTGCTAATTACGATAAATACCCTATATTTGCTAATTACGCTAAATACCCTATATCTGCTAATTATGCTACATATATGCTATACTACTGTTTAATTATGTAATTGTCTTTAATAAATTATTGATGATCCTATTCTGGATTGTGACAGTATATAAAACATAATTAGTAGATACAGTACATAGAGCATAATTAGTTGATATAGCACATAGAGCATAATTAGAAGATATAGTGTAATTAATATAATTAGTAGATATAGCATATAGAGCGTAATTAGTAGATATAGAATAATCAGTATAATTAGTAGATATAGCATATAGAGCATAATTAATAGATATAACATATAAAGAAAAAGTATATAAGTAATGTGGTTATAATGTAATAAAAACAAGTCTCATATAACAATTAATAAAGTAACACTTATCTGTAGTACTCACCCAAATCCAACACCTCTTTTGAGTACTATCCTATCTAACATTATGTGAGAGACTTTCATTTACCCTATGAATAGGGGATTTTAGAAGATATATTTTCCAGTATATGACAATAGATAACATCATAAATCTATTATTTATCAATAACAATCCAACACCTTCACTATTTATATAGAATTTACTTTTAAGAAGATCATCATGTGTAGGATGCATAACCTACAAAGAAGAAAAATGTGAAATCAGAATATTGTAACCAATTATGTAAAAATACATGAAATGCAATAAGTGCAATAAGTACAATAAATTACATTTATGATTGAAAATGATATTTTGGATCCAAAAGGAATAAGGGAAGGAAATAAAGAATATTAAATAAATATGTGAAAATAACTTTAATTAATTTTAACAGATAATAAATGTAAAGTCACATTTGTAAGTGATGCCTGAAATGGTTCTTATAAACAGTATGCTTCATGTCTTTATATAATAACAAGTCCCAAATGCCTATAATAAACTCTAACACTATAACATTACCAACCCTGTAAGCCCCCATAATCATTGGTTGGTTGCAAGAGAATCCGGATTGTGGAGCAACTGAGTTGCGGAAATCCGCTACGACAATATATATTCACTAAATGCAATACCGATACTTCGCACGTCTCCCGTTCCTAGTTTTGCGTGACAACGTCGCGCAGTTATCTTATTTTATTACGTAATATCATTGCATTGTCTGCCTAATTCGATAAAGAATGATGCAATTATATCTGAAAATTTAAATAAATAGAGAATGACAAAATTCGTCCAATAAATGTGCTTGTACAATTATTTGTGAAAGTGCAAGCCAATGGAATTTTTTACTAACGTCGAGTTCATAGTTTATAAAAAAATAAACTGACTCAATGTTCACAATCGGAATTAACAAAATTCTCGCTCATGTAAAAATCGGGAAGATTACATAAAACGAATTTTCATTTTTGAGCTTTTATGGAGTTACAATACATAGCTTGTGGACTATTTTTATTAACTTTATAAACCATTACATATTGTAATATTAATATTTTGAGGCATTTATTTTGCCACATACCACTGCACATTCTTGTTAACTTTTTTCTTTGTATTCTTAACGTTTAAAAAAGGATATACCTGTAGAGTTACGTTTTGCTTCCTTCTAACCCGATTCAGATGATGAAACAATTTCCCAGGCATTTGCCGAAAGTTTACCTTTTTTTCCACCTTTTTTACGTTGTAAAAGTTGAGAAGAGACGAAAGTGCTTTTTTTACAGAAGGCAATGGCAACCTCAACTATTGTCTCGATATGGTTTGCAGTATTTGACCGATAGTTCTTATCAGCAATTTGAATTAGCCCATTCTCAGCACTAATTTTCATTTCATCACGGTTTTCTGATTTAGCAAGCTTAAACTCAAAAATGATACAAGTATCGGATTTTTGGTTAATCGGGATGATGCGGACATCAGGACGACCATTACCAGTTTCACGATTGGATACGACCTGGTAGTCGTCACCGTGAAACATTGCAACTGCCCCAAGGACAAACGTATGGTACCAACCCTCGTATGATTTAGCTCTTTTGGCATCACCAATATCGTAACAAGAGATTATTTCCATATAAAGAGTGGGAAATTGTTCGCAAAACGTCTTGATTTCTTTCTTGAATAACGAGTTGAATATATCATTCGTCTTTAGCCGACTTATGCCTATGAAATCAATAATCCACTGCTTCCATTGTTCAGCAACTTCTTTGTTGGGTATAACAAGCTTGACTTCGGTAGGCTCCCATGGTTTATCAGCTTTATTATTGGACGTATCATCAAAATCTACAGTCAAATAGCCACTATAACAAAGTAATGTATAGATCACATTAATTTCTGGTTCATTATCGAGAACGTCGTATCGAAGATGTGGTAAGAGTTTCACTTTAACACATTTTTGTAGTGAATCGCCGTCTTGTAATGAATAAAATGAGTAATAAAGACTTTGGAGCTGATCTTCAATATGTTGGCTACATTTTTTTAGACATTCCTTAACCGTGACTGTCGAACCACTATTTACCCAGTAATTACCAATAATACCCTCCTTTAGAGA